GCTAAAAGCGGCGTGAAAGTTAACTCACTCACTTCACAAAACATAAATGTGAACAAACAAGTAAAGATCTGTGATGATTTTAAATGCTCATGCTATGGAACTGCGTAAATACTATGGTATATTATGAGATATTATCTGAGCCTGATATATCTAGTACACTAGCACTGTAACTGAATTACAGAGACCAGTCGCATGTAACAAATATAAGATAACATAAACATATTGTCATGATGAAATGTAAATGAAATATATGTCTATCTTAATATATTAGCCTCATTTTTTTGAGGTGTCAAATTGCTTTTTTGGAAAACAACATCCATATCTTCATCTTGCTTGGATAGTTTAGGTAAATGAGAACAACTGACGGAACGACTTGAAATAACAATGGAAAAATGAACAATGGTTTCCTATGATTAAAAAATGTAACTATTTGCTGCACATAATGTGTCTATTCGTTTATCTGCCGTGATATAGAAACATCCGACAAAATTGGTTCATACCCAATTAACGATTAATGAATGGAGATTATATATATTGTGCGTATCACAATACATGCTTATGAATCATTATTGTAATAACATACGAGATGATGAAAGAAACATCCAACAAAATTGGTTCATACCCAATTAACGATTAATGAATGGAAATAATATCTATATTGTGCGTATCATTATACATGTTTATGAATCATTATTATAATAACAAACGAGATGATATTTAGGCCTACACACTTAACTAGCACCACTTGTTGGTGGCGATGCAGTGATACCAGTCATTTGAAGATAAGACCTGTTTGGCATTTCAGAACTGTAACTATTATTTTTTATTTCGATGAAAGCAATTAAAACTTTCAGCAAATGAAAAGTGCTAATAGCTGATTAAGACTCATTAAACAGATAAAGTAATTATATTCACGTTCATTAAATGAAACAGCGAGTAAACTAAAATTCTTCATGACAGTTGGGGTAAGGTCTGGCTAAAATGATCGATACTCGGAAAATCGTCGACAGAAAACAAATTATCAATGATTATCGGAAAATCGTATTATCGATAATATCATGCATTAAATTTTGTGGTAGAATAAGTTCTATTTTTCTCATACAATATATCGGTACACATTTAGGATTTTCTTCATGGTGTGCTTTTAAATTATGTTTAGGACACTGTTTCGTTAATAATACATGTCACAACTCACCAGTGAGTCCGCTTTAGCAATATTCCAGCAATATTACGCCGCTTTTAGCAATATTCCAGCAATATCACGGAAGGGGACACCAGAAATGTGCTTCACACATTGTACCCATGTGGCATTAATGCTAGGCGTCATTAACAAAGGGTCAAATGATATATAGCACATGTAAAGAAGACTTTCTCAGAAATAATAGAACTAAGAGTGTTGACAAAAGAGACACACCGTGACACACAGACAAAAAATTCAAACAGCACTAGCAAACATCAGTTGTATAGACCAACCCCTCAAAAATGAAAATGACAAACATCTGTTTTCCATACTGTTAAGAAAGTTTGTAAAGCATTCATTTGTATATGTTTCAAACAAAAACGAAGATTTTACTACTTTTAAGAAAAGTGTTACCAACAGTTTGACCTTTCATTCTTTTAGACGTTTTTGCTCAAGGTTACGTCTCCGATAGCCGGAGTCCCATACTTATGTGAAGTAAAGCCATCTTCAGGAATGTCCCTGATGTCCATTAAGCATTAATAGTTTACGCCAATCAGCAAATTACTAATGGTAGTCCAAATTACTAATGGTAATCCAAATTACTAATGGTAATCCAAATTACTAATGGTAATCCAAGTTACTAATGGTAATCCATTTTACTTATGGTAATAAAAATTACTAATGGTAATCCAAGTTACTAATGGTAATCCATTTTACTAATGGTAATCCAAGTTACTAATGGTAATCCATTTTACTAATGGTAATCCAAGTTACTAATGGTAATCCAAATTACTAATGGTAATCCAAGTTACTAATGGTAATCCATTTTACTAATGGTAATCCAAATTACTAATGGTAATCCAAATTACTAATGGTAATCCAAGTTACTAATGGTAATCCATTTTACTAATGGTAATCAAAATTACTAATGGTAATCCAAGTTACTAATGGTAATCCATTTTACTAATGGTAATCCAAGTTACTAATGGTAATCAAAATTACTAATGGTAATCCAAGTTACTAATGGTAATCCATTTTACTAATGGTAATCCATTTTACTTATGGTAATAAAAATTACTAATGGTAATCCAAGTTACTAATGGTAATCCATTTTACTAATGGTAATCCAAGTTACTAATGGTAATCCATTTTACTAATGGTAATCCAAGTTACTAATGGTAATCCAAATTACTAATGGTAATCCAAGTTACTAATGGTAATCCATTTTACTAATGGTAATAAAAATTACTAATGGTAATCCAAGTTACTAATGGTAATCCATTTTACTAATGGTAATCCAAGTTACTAATGGTAATCCAAATTACTAATGGTATTCCAAGTTACTAATGGTAATCCACGTTACTAATGGTAATCCAAATTACTAATGGTAATCCAAATTACAAATGGTAATCCAAGTTACTAATGGTAATCCATTTTACTAATGGTAATAAAAATTACTAATGATAATCCAAGTTACTAATGGTAATCCATTTTACTAATGGTAATCCAAGTTACTAATGGTAATCAAAATTACTAATGGTAATCCAAGTTACTAATGGTAATCCATTTTACTAATGGTAATCCATTTTACTAATGGTAATAAAAATTACTAATGGTAATCCAAGTTACTAATGGTAATCCATTTTACTAATAGTAATCCAAGTTACTAATGATAATCCAAATTACTAATGGTAATCCAAGTTACTAATGGTAATCCATTTTATTAATGGTAATCCAAGTTACTAATGGTAATCCACGTTACTAATGGTATCCAAATTACTAATGGTAATCCAAGTTACTAATGGTAATCCATTTTACTAATGGTAATCAAAATTACTAATGGTAATCCAAGTTACTAATGGTAATCCATTTTACTAATGGTAATCCAAGTTACTAATGGTAATCAAAATTACTAATGGTAATCCATTTTACTAATGATAATCCAAGTTACTAATGGTAATCCAAGTTACTAATGGTAATCCATTTTACTAATGGTAATCCAAGTTACTAATGGTAATCCACGTTACTATGGTAATCCAAATTACTAATGGTAATCCAAGTTACTAATGGTAATCAATTTTACTAATGGTAATCAAAATTACTAATGGTAATCCAAGTTACTAATGGTAATCCACGCTACTAATGGTAATCCAAATTACTAATGGTAATCCAAGTTACTAATGGTAATCCAAATTACTAATGGTAATCCAAGTTACTAATGGTAATCCAAATTACTAATGGTAATCCAAGTTACTAATGGTAATCCAAATTACTAATGGTAATCCAAATTACTAATGATAATTCAACTGCCATGGCAGAACTGATCTCAATATTGGGCTTGGACTGAATGCAATTTTTCCAAAGGTACCAAACGGCACCAAACAGATAGATTAGGTGTGCATTTATGAAAATAAGTGTGCTCATAGCTTTTGATGATCCGGTTAACTTAAAACATCACAACAATTATGTTCTTTTTAATTCATTGTTTGATTAATAATCACGTTAACCCGTAAACACTGATAAGACTGCAAGAATGACCCTTTGTCACAACATAGCTCACAAAAATCTAATATCTACAACCCCAGAGTTACTATAAATATCAGCTATGGACTGACATCAAAACAAACGTTTAATGGATATCTCTGTCACTGTTTTTCCATATTAATGCCCAAATTTCAGCAGTATTTTAAGTGATATCCACCTCTCTTTTCGGTAAGGCAACAAAATAGCTATATTCGTTATAGCGAACTCGAAGGGACCAGTATATATATTTTTGGTGTCTTATAACCATGGTTCATAATACTCGTTTCAATTATATAATACAAGGGATTTTGACATGTGACTTGAAATAGGTTGTCATTGATCTTCCACCGGGGTTAAGTGATCATTTGTGGAATAACTATGCTCATGTGATCTCACGGTCTCAATACAACAATGGATCTATAAACATGTACTGATGGAAACAAAAAAGGGAACACGTGAAAACAGATGTGTTCCTGTATTATTTTCCAGGTATCTTTGCAAGCTTTGTATTGAACTGTGGGAAGAACACCGAACACAGGAACATCGTGATGAAGTTTGTTTCCTCTAGTATACCATGAATGGTCTCAGATTATACACAGTTTGACCTTGATGACACAGTAAGAGCTGGCTGTTCTTAGGGAACCACGATCATTAACTAAATAATGATTAATTATTGATAAATAACTAATGAGTAAGTATTGATAATTCTTTCCACAATATTCAATCTGTTTAGCCAGCCCTAGATACAGCAATGCATTGGGGGTTTTTCAGATGATACTACAGTTGGCGTTGGTGTGTTGTGCTATACCCTGCATAGCAGCCGGTAATACGCTGTTCTTTCAACCACATGCAGCACCGTCATTCAGAAGCTTCACTTGTCCAGACCAAAGCCAGTGCCGAGGTGGAAACACTTGCTGTCAGACTACACAAAACCAGTTTGGATGTTGCCCCTACAAAAATGTAAGCACGTTCCCAGATTTACTTTGACCTCAGAGGCAGATATTTAACCCACAAAGTCTTTTGCCAGCATAAGCTGTTCATTCTTCTCGAACACATCTACAGCTTATCAACATGTCCCACTGTTAAAGGAATGACCACATCACATTGGAGACGACAGGCATCGTGGAGACGACTCACTTCGGTCTACAGATATGTGTTGACGTGTTTCATGGTGCCCAATGTTTATGTGTTGTCTGGTAGGCTGTATGCTGTCCTGACCACGCCCACTGTTGTCCAGGGGTAATACCTGTGATATGGCCACTAAATCGTGTCAGAAGGGGGCGTGGTCACAGCATGGATGGAGAAGACATCAGCCATTACAAAGGTCATTGGTGACATCCAGTGTGATGCCACACATGAGTGTGTGGACAGGGACCCCTGCTGTATGATGGCCAACCACCAGTGGGGATGCTGTCCTATGCCTCAGGTGAGACTCGGTCTCTAGCATGTGGTGTGTTGGCAACACCTGTGTGAACCTCTGGCCAGACAGAAGCATATGTGATATATGATGGCCAATCTCTTAGAGATTGTTCTCTCACACTGATATTAGTCTGATGTTTGTGGAAATTGGATCTTGTAATAAATTCATCCTCAGCTCCCTGCTTTCATTTGATTATTGTCAGAACCTCGTGCCACATTATCTCAACTGTTATGTTAAATTTAGGGAACACTGTCCAATACACACAATCCATACCAGCCACGACGTATTGCCATTGGCTTGAAAACTACTAATGCAATATAGAGCATTATTCATTTCAAATCAGTCATCTTGTTTCAAAGTAACTGGGGGGCGGTGGGGTAGCCTAGTGGTTAAAGCGGTCGCTCGTCACGCCGAAGGCCCGGGTTCGATTCCCCACATGGGTACAATGTGTAAAACCCATTTCTGGTGTCCCCCGCCGTGATATTGCTTTAACAGTCACAGTGAATCCCGTTAGGTGGCTGACCCACTGCCTATTCCGTCGGACTGACTCATGATCTGAAGGGCCCTCCCAAACGTCTCCTCCCCTTGGGGCATCAATGCAGCATGAGCCAAGATAAGTGTAAAATATCAATTTTATCATAACATTTTGTGGTTCAAATACATTGTACTAGAAATCTAGAAATCGGCTCATTCAATATAGAGTTGAATAGTATAGACTTGTCTCTGTTGTATTTTGTTGGTTGAAAGGGGACTCGCAAACATTTGTCACGGCAAATTATTAACAGAAACGCTGGAATATTTCTAAAATCTGTGTAAAAATTAACTCACTTGTTTTGTTTCCAGGCTGTGTGTTGCCCAGATAAAGTCCACTGCTGCCCTTCTGGAACTACCTGTGACTCATCACCTGGCAAGTGTAACAGACAGGATGGAATCATACTTCCCTGGATGCAGAGGTCATCCTCAAGTCAGTCGTCAGGAAGGAAAGTAATAACTGACCCTGGCACAGACAATGACACTATGAGACACAAGACCATAATGCATGTCGAGGTAATACTGTGCTCCCTGTGAAAATGGCTCAACTGTTTTTCTTATAAATACTGCCATAACTTCTTTTCTCAGCATGTGGAAATTCCACTTGAGGACCCTTTGGTTCAGATTCTCTGTTAACTGCATATTTTGTTCTACCGGAGACAGAAGCGTCGGTGGTGTGCCCTGGATATGATTCAGAGTGTCCATCTGGCTCCACCTGTTGTCGGCTGGCGTCAGGAAGCTGGGGTTGCTGCCCATTGCCAGAGGTAGCATTCATTCTTCATTTCACAACATATCCTTAAGACTTAGAACTGTTGTTGGAGTTAGGGTAGTCATGGTTAAAACGTTGGTTTCTCACACCAAAGACTCAGGTTCAATTCTCCAGATGACGTCAATAGGTGCAGTCCATTTTATTTTGTCCCCCACTGGAATACTGTTTAAAGTGGCATTACATCACACTCACTCACTCACTCCAACTTTTGAAAATTAGATGATCTCTACCTGTTAAAAAGCAGCATTAAGCCATATCACTCACAAAATTCATACAGGCAAAGGTTGAGCAAAATGTATCCCCATCTCGGCAATCATCTTTACAGTAATAGTTTATCGCTTGGCTAAACAATGAAGTGTGTTTGCATTTGTTTACATGAAATTTTGCATTTGTTTACATGAAATGAATAAAGACTCGGACTCTCCCACTGATAGACTGCTGTTTCCTGGGTGGGATAAATTGATCGTGTTGGACTGTGACACGATTTCATTGATTTCATATTGTTGTCTATACACTATATCCATTAATAAGTAAATATTGTGCTCCAGTGGCATCAGTATGGGTTTTGTTTTTCATTTTTTTTGTAGACATTGAAAAACATTTATTTGTAGGATAACTTAACAAAGTGTGAAAATCATGGTTACAATTGGTTTCAGCAACCCATGCTAATTGTTAGAAGCACTAACCATTTTTTTTTTTCGCTCGCTTGATGTATGTCATTATAACCACATTGTGTATGTCAGTGCTCATGCTGTCAATCACTGGATTGCCTGATCCAAACTCGATTATATGCAGACTGAGGACAAATAGTCTGGACATATCTTAGTGCAGTGTAAACTACCAACAGACAACCAAAGAACCTTTAAACTGTACCCAAAATACTTAATGTTCATGATATGAATACAGTTTCACTGTTTAACACATGTATACCCACAGGCTGTGTGCTGCTCTGACAATGTCCACTGCTGTCCATCTGGGATGATCTGTGACGTCAGTCTAGGCGCCTGCATCTATGATGGCATCAGCATTACTTGGGAATACAAAAGGCCAGCTCGGGCCAGGAAGACACAGCACAGTGGTGGACAAGCCAAGCATCCTAGCCCAGACAAGAGTATCAAGGTCCAGAAAGAAACCAAACTCTTGACAATGTGATGCGTCTAGACAAAAGACCAGTTGTCTTGACAATAGCTCATGTTTCTCTTACCCATAAAGATCCGATGAGTTAGAATTGGTTCTTCAGCAACCCACTCTTGTCATAAGAGGCGGCTAAAGGGATCGGGTGGTTAGACTCGCTGACTTTCCATACAGGTGTCATCATATCCCAGTTGCATAGATGGATGCTCATGCTGCTGATCACTGGATTGTCTGGTCTAGACTGGACTATTTACAGACCACCGCCATAGAGCTGGAATATTGCTGAGTGCGGCGTTTAGCAAGCAAGCAACCAATCATGTTGCTCATGTTGTTGTATTCATGTTTTCCTGTCTACAGGGGAGATAAGTCATTTCAGCATCCAGGAGATAAGATTCTCTGTTGCTCATGTTTTCTTTTGCACATGATTTGAGTGCCGTTTGAGCATCATGGGGGTGAGATTCTTTGCTACACATTTTCTTTCCTACAGGAGGTGAGAGAGTCGTCAGAGCATGTGGTGGATGAGATTCTCAATTACATGTTTTCTTTTCTACAGGAGGTGGGAATTCCAGTTGAGATTCTCTGTTACCTGCATATTTTGTTCTACAGGAGATAGAAGCGTCGGTGGTGTGCCCTGGAGATGATTCAGAGTGTCCATCAGGCTCCACCTGTTGTCGGCTGGCGTCAGGAAGCTGTGGTTGCTGCCCATTGCCAGAGGTAGCATTCATTCTTCATTTCACAACATATCCTAAAGACTTAGAACTGTTGTTGGAGTTAGGGTAACCATGGTTAAAACGTTGGTTTCTCACACCAAAGACTCAGGTTCAATTCTCCAGATGACTCCAATAGGTGCAGTCCATTTTATTTTGTCCCCCACTGGAATACTGTTTAAAGTGGCATTACATCACACTCACTCACTCACTCACTCACTTCAACTTTTGAAATGTAGATGATCTCTACCTGTTAAAAGCAGCATTAAGTCATACTCACTCACAAAATTCATATAGGCAAAGGTTGAGCAAAAAATGTATCCCCATCACGGCAATCATTTTTACAGTAATTGTTGATTGCTTGGCTACACAATGAAGTGTGTTTGCATTTGTTTACATGAAATTTTGCATTTGTTTACATGAAATGAATAAAGACTCGGACTCTCCCACTGATAGACTGCTGTTTCCTGGTTGTGTGATAAATTGATCGTGTTGGACTGTGACACGATTTCATTGATTTCATATTGTTGTCTATATTCTTTTATATCCATTAATAAGTAAATATGTGACGAAGTCCAGTGTGCTCAAGTATGGGTATTTGTTTTCATTTTGTAGACATTGAAAAGTACATTTATTTGTAGGTTATAACTTAAAAAAGTGTGAAAATCCTGGTCACAATTGGTTTCAGCAACCCTTGCTTATTGTTAGAAGCACTGACCATTTTCAGGCTCTCTCGCTTGATGTATGTCATTATATCCACATTGTGTATGTCAGTGCTCATGATGTCAATCACTGGATTGCCTGATCCAAACATGATTTTACTCAGACTGAGGTCAAATAGTCTGGACATATCTTAGTGCAGTGTAAACCACCAACAGACAACCAAAGAACCTTTAAACTGTACCAAAAATACTTAATGTTCATGTTATGAATACATGTGCACTGTTTAACACATGTATACCCACAGGCTGTGTGCTGCTCTGACAATGTCCACTGCTGTCCATCTGGGATGACCTGTGACGTCAGTCTAGGCGCCTGCATCTATGACGGCATCAGCATTACTTGGGAATACAAAAGGCCAGCTCGGGCCAGGAAGACACAGCACAGTGGTGGACAAGCCAAGCATCCTAGCCCAGACAACAGTATCAAGGTCCAGAAACCTCTTGACAATGTGATGTGTGTTGACAAAACGTCCATTTGTCCTGACAACAGCTAATGTTGCTCTTACCCATGAAGATCCCAGTTAGAATTGGTCTTCAGCAACCCACTCTTGTCATAAGTGGCGGCTAAAGGGATCGGGTGGTTAGGCTCGCTGACTTTCCTTACAGGTGTCATCATATCCCAGTTGCATAGATGGATGCTCATGCTCTTGATCACTGGATTGTCTGGTCCAGACTCGACTATTTATAGACCACCGCCATAGAGCTGGAATATTGCTGAGTGTGGCTTTTAAGGAAGCAAGCAACCAAGCCAATCATGTTGTTGTATTCATGTTTTCCTGTCTACATGCAAGCTTGTCATTTCAGCTCCAGGAATCTACAGTTTGGTTTAAAGTCGCTTTCAGCATCCAGCAATATCAGGAGAGAAGATTCTCTTTGTACTCATGTGGGGATTTTTCTTTTGACGACATGATTTGAGAACCGTTTGAGCATCATGGATTCGCTATTACTGATGTCTACTTTTGCACATGATTTGAGCCGTTTACACATGAGATTCTTTTTTTCCTACAGGAGGTGAAAGAGTCGTCAGAGCATGTGGTGAATGAGATTCTTAATTACATGTTTTCTTTTCTACAGGAGGTGGGAATTCCAGTTGAGTGCCTTTTGGTTGAGATTCTCTGTTAACAGCATATTTTGTTCTACAGGAGATAGAAGCGTCGGTGGTGTGTCCAGGGGATGAGTCAGAGTGTCCATCAGGAAACACCTGTTGTCGGCTGGCGTCAGGAAGCTGGGGTTGCTGCCCATTGCCAGAGGTAGCATTCATTCTTCATTTCACAACATATCCTAAAGACTTAGAACTGTTGTTGGAGTTAGGGTAACCATGGTTAAAACGTTGGTTTCTCACACCAAACACTCAGGTTCAATTCTCCAGATGACTCCAATAGGTGCAGTCCATTTTATTTTGTCCCCCACTGGAATACTGTTTGAAGTGGCATTACATCTCACTCACTCACTCTCAGTCCAACTTTTGAAATTTAGATGATCTCTACCTGTTAAAAGTAAAATTAAGTCTCCAACTAAATCACAAAATTTCCACAGGTAAAAGTTACACAAAAATGTATCCCTATCTCGGCATCATTTTGTACAGTAATTGTTTATCACTTGGTTGAAAAAAGAGTGTTTTTGCATTTATTTACATGAAATGAAATACTCAGACATGCCTACTGATGGACTGCTGTTCCAATCCTGATTATAAACAGGCTGAGGTCAAATAGTCTGAACATACCTTAGTGCAGTAAAAACCAACAACAGACAACCAAACAACCTTTAAACTGTCCCAGAAATCTTAATGTTTATGTTATGAATACATTTTACACCCGTATGCCCACAGGCTGTGTGCTGCTCTGACAATGTCCACTGCTGTCCATCTTGGATGATCTGTGACGTCAGTCTGGGCGCCTGCATCTATGACGGCAACAGGATGTCTTGGGAATACAAAAGGCCAGCTCGGGCCAGGAAGACACAGCACATTGGTGGACAAGCCAAGCATCCTAGTCCAGACAACAATATCAAGGTCTAGAAAGACACCAGACAAAAAGTCCAGCCCAGTCTTCAACAACCCATGCTTGTCGTAAGAGACAAGTAACGGGATTGGTGGTCAGGCTCGTTGACTTGTTTGACACGTGTCATCGTATCTCATTTGCGTAGATCGATGTTCATGCTGTTGATCATTATATTGTCTGGACCAGACTCGATTATTTACAGATTTACCTTAATACACATGTATTTATTTGACATGTCTCTGTTTACACCTTGCAATGATCAACGAAATGGTCAATGATAAATAACATATAACCGCCACAGATCCATGAACTACTTTGGAAATCCCCCCAGACACGTGGTGGCCAATTTGAAGTACTGTGTATCATGTAAATATATTACTACGCGCTGTCAATGTCACTGACGTGCGAGAACAACATCTATTGCTGGTATTGTTTGAATGTTTTGGATGAAATCCAACAGAAGATGCATCATCTCGTGTAATCTCTCCTTTCGAAATACTATTATAAATGCCAGTCTTGGAAGTAGTATGAAGTGAGATCTCCATGAAGCACAGAACGTCATTAAACACCTTCCATGGGTGTGTCACATGACAGTATTGCAAACATTATGTTACATGAACCAGTTCACCGTCCTTATTATGGGCTTTGTGAAATATTGATAAAAATCTGGGGTGCTCAGATGTTTTCTTGCAATTATACTAGGTAGTTTTGATCAAATAGAAGCGAAAAAAACACTTTCCACATAAGAAATCTCAGCCCAAATCAGAGTCGATTGTACAATTGTGACTATATCTTGAGCAGATATTTGTTTCAGCAGTAGTACAGGTGTATGGTGCTGTTTGTAAACAATTCGGGTCTGAACCAGACAATCCAGTGATTGTCATCATGCGATACGATGACAAAGCACGTATTTATGAATCAGTATGAAATAGTGATGATACCATGTGTTCGTGAGAAACCTCAGCTACACTATTCTGGAGTTTATCTTTCCATTCAATAGCACCGATAGTTCCAGAATATATTTCTTAAACCTATAACTGTTACCATTTTTTGAAAACTGAAAATATATCAATATATATAATGAATTGGATGCATATTTGGCTATTTGGATTGAATATCTGTTACTGTTATTTTGTTGTGAACAAATCTATTGTTAAAATATATATTTCCACTGTTCTTCGTTTCTTTTGTTGTTCTGTCTTATGGTTGTTGCAAAATTAAATAGGTGAAACAAAAAATATAATTCCTTTATATAGTGCCTAGTATCCATCTGACCAGTTCACTGGACGCTGTAATCAGAATCTGATCATTATTGACCCCGATAACCCAAGCTGCCTGTGAGGCGCTAGAAGGTTATAGTCATAGAACTTATCTCATCGGTACCCATTTTCTGCTGGGTGAACAGAGGCAATTTGGAACAGACTCACTTGCCTAAGGTGATACCACATGTGTCAAATGTGTTTCGTTGTGTGGCAGGACTGAAGTCCTAGAAACTCTCAGGAGTCAAGCTGCCAAACACGGTCACCCATCCAAGTACTCTCCGCGCTCAACGTAGCTTAAATTCAACTGATTTGTGACCTGAGCTCTACGCACAGGACCGCACACCACCATATATCATGATACTGCCATTGTTTCTACAGGTCTATGGTAATTAAATTGGCATTTGTTCCTGTTGTCTGTTACAAGTGCAGATATTTGATAATAGTAATGAATTCTGACAAGGTGGTGCGCTAATATATGACATTAGCAACACTTATGTCCGGCATTAAATGACATTAGCTACATAGATAGCGATAGGAAATAATCAAGGTGGATTGCCACCATGCCGTTTTCTGTTGCAGGAGGTACGAACAGAGTAGAAAAACACTGATGTCGTCAAGGAAGTTTTCTTCACAGTGAGTGAAGCGTCATAAAATCTTCTTGGTGACAAACGATCACAGGACAAACAATTAAGTCGCTGAAGTTTTAGTTCTGCTCGACTGAACCGAAAGTGAGTGACTGGATATGATGTTAGGCCGTTAATAGCAATGTTCCAGCAATATCACGGCAGGGCACACATATTGTACCGTTGTTGGGAGTCGAACTAGGCCCTGTGCCTGAACAGTGCTACACCACCATCTTATAGATGGGATGGACTAGATAAATATATGACGTAGACTTCTGGCCAACAGATGCTAGTTAGGCAGAAATATCCTATGTTTGCCCAGAGAAGATTTCTCAGTGCCAAATACTTGCCACAAAAAATGATGAAGCCAACTAAACTAAGGTCAACAGGCTAATTGTGTCACGTTCTTGTAGCTGGGAGTGGAGTCATCCCATAGAGTGAGTGAGTTGGGTTTTACACCGCTTTTAGCAATATTCCAGCAATATCACGGCAGAGGACACCAGAAATGGGCTTCACACATTGTACCCATGTGGGCGTGACGAGCGAACGCTTTAACCACTAGGCTACCCCACCGCCCCATATCCCATAGAGAACATCCGGACCTTGTCAGCTTTCATGTGGACAAGGCATCCGACTTCCGATCATCAGGTCCGTGGTTGGAATGGCCGCTGCAGTATCTGAACTAGATATTACTGAATGATATTTTCTGAAAATAAGACTTATTTTACCATGGGGATGAAATACTGCTGCCTTGACCTGCAGATAACTGACTGAAAACCACTCGAACCCACAGTTTTCTTATCTGCAGGTCCTTATGGCCGACAGCTTTTCATCCCCCCAAAAATAAGGATTATTTTTCAGAAAATAGAATTCAGTAATATCTTGTTTTTTTCTCGATCAGCAGTTGTTGTCTGTTGCATGGAAGCGACTATCATTTTGAGGAAGCAATTTAGATGCAGTCTCTGCTCATACAAACCAGATTATATTGTAGCTAAAATATAAGGCCTACACATTCTGATCAGAACCCACAACTTTTTATGGTTCTGGGTCCTTAGGGCCTGCAGCTTTTCAGTGTTAAGGGCAAACACTGCATACAACATCAACTCACAATTACAGTGCCAGATTGGCTGAACAATAAGATGCACACTTTTCTCTCATTTATTGAAATATAAAAATATAGCATAAAGATCGGAGTGCACACGATGTACAGTGCATATCACATTCAATACCTCCACATACATAGCAATCATGAAAATGAACACGTAAAAATTTAACATTCATACAGATTTCACTGAGCTAAAAATTTGAAGTGTCAAAAAAGGATATTTCTCTTGATGAAAATGATGTCAAATGTTTTGAGAGGACTTGGAATGGTATAGCCATAACAACAAAATATGATACAATTATCTCATCTGTTGTATATTCACACACAGGCCAAGGGGGGGTGTGTGTGGTGGAAATGGACTAGTGTACTGACTCCAGCTAATGTATGCATAATGTATGCATGAGAAATGATAATGTTTCAGATTTCTAGTTAGAGTAGATCCCCAGGTTACATAATAAGGTCCTATGTGTTCATAATATCAGTCTCTGGGTTTGGAAAAGTGAAACAAATATTTTTTTGCACTTACAGTGTGTGTTTTGTAATGTACCCTGTGTGAGTGTGTTGTGTATGTGTGCATGCATGCATGTGTGTATGTGTGCATGTATGCACGTGTGTCTGTGCGGGCACGTGTATGAGAGTGTGGGAGATTGCATGTGCACTAGTTGTTTAACTTATATACTGAAAGGCAAAAGACACGTCGTAATATTAGAAATGACATTTGAGTATCAATGGAGTATTTGAACCCAATTTTTTAAATATACACAAGAAGTCAAGTTTGAGGAAGCATGAATCGTGGTCGTATAGCCTGCATTGCCCAATAAAGTATTGTTTGAGATTGAAGTTAGAAATGTTTTTGGTTTTTGGAGAGGGAAAAGTTCCCACAAACACAACATTGAAATCGAGATGCACGTGCATCATAAATGCATTCAGGCATAAATTGCCAGCTTAAATGGCAATCGCTCACTTGTTTTCTGAACACAGCAGCTATGACTAGGTTAAGGAGAGATCAGCCACAACAAGCTATTGGACGTGCGCGCCGCTGGTCAACATGCTCGAAGTCATTGCTAATGACTTCAGTTGTAGCGCATTTAACGATAGAACGCGTCTAAGAGTGCGATACAACGCCACCCAGCAGCACTGATGACCGCCCACGAGTGGTCAACCCCCGGTAACAACACGCCGCCAGGACCGTCATATCGTCCATCAACACGCAAGACCTATTCGCAAGGGCAAGAGAAACAGCTTGGGTGACCATAGGAAACCACCAGCGACCAGTCAGTGACCTACCATTCGGCGACGTCTCCAAGCCAGGAACCTGTTTTGTCGACGTCCTGCCAAGAGACCCATATTCACCCAACGTCACCGCCGGGAACGTATCCAAGTGGACACAACAGCGGCAAAACTGTCGTGGGGACAATGGAGAGGGGTTATCTTCTCTAATGAAAGTCGGTACTGCATTTCAGTGGCGTATTATTTTTAAAAAATAGGTTCAAATGTTCCATTGATACTTAAATGTCATTTCCAATATTACGACATTTCTTTTGCCTTTCAGTATATAAGCAGCCAGCAAATAATTGAGTCTGGATAAGACAATCCAGTGATAGACATCATCAGAATCGACCCAAAAAATAGAGATAAATTGAAAGATGGTCAACCTAGTCAACTAGGTCATGCCTGTACGTCTCATCAATTAAATCTCCTCTTTCGACTGTCACAAGCTACTCGAGATCATTTCTAACCTGGATTCCTTATTGCTAGAACATGTGTCAACAGGCTGGTGGAATGATGACAGACTAGTTCATTCACACATGTCTAAACTGGTAAATTACATGTGGATCACTCCTTTATGAAATCTTTAAATTTGCAATGGCAAGGGTTGATCCAGGATTTTGGAGAATAAATCATGAAGTCGAGAAAGAAGGTTGGGTCAGGGAATTTGTCCCCCCTTTTGTTGAACATAAATTATGAAGTCCAAAGGTTAGGGGGAAATGTTCCTCAGGAAATTCGTCCCCATCCTCGTCCAACATGCATCACTTTACTGAAGTTTTACTGATTTACTGAAGCTCTAAACTTCAATTTTGGTATAAATTGCAACTCAGAGATGACATTAACAGAAACAATTAGTCTCTGAAAATATATAAATTTTATAGAAACAAATAATTCCAACAAACTTGAAAAGGAGAACCAGTGAAATAGGGGCTTCAGTCTAAACCTGAGGAAATTTAGACTTGCTTCAGTTTTTGAAAGGGCTAGATGAGAGGTAAAATACTGTGGTTCAGGGACAGTGAGACAGACTAGCAGGACAAGTTATGCACTCGGAGGACTTGTGAACTTAGATGACCAGGGCAGTAGATAAGGTGACTAACATAGAAGTTTTGAGAAGGAAAGCATGACAGAATAGATCAGAGGGAATTGCACAAGCTTATGTAAATACTAAATCAGTGGTAAGAAACCTAAAACACAATTCATAAAATCAAATCAATCACAATGAACACACATAAAACCATTTTGTAAACAGCTGAGCAGTGATACTGGGCCAATGATGTAGATAGCGATCATGTGACATTTTACTTCGACATTTGGTCAAGATGGTCAGTCTGGATAGACACAGATCCTCATCATGATTATCCCATGATTTTTAAGGGTATCCAACATCATGTGGCCTGCAACCACAGATGCCAGGCAATATAAGGGGAGATAACTCCAGTGAGGAGTGAAGAAAGGAGGTTGACGCCATGGTTGTCAAGGACTGCGTATCCACTGATGTGTTCTACATGAGGGCCTGGATGTTCCACGATGCATGCTCGCCGATGGTCGTATCCTGTGGAGTAACATCAGAATAAGGCTTAACTTGCTTAAGACATGTATGAGTGAGTGAGGTTTTCGCGTACGCTTTTAGCAATATTCCAGAAATATCACTCGGGGACACCAGGAATGGGCTTCAAACATGTGGGGAATCAACCAGGGACTTCAGTGTGACGAGTCAACGTTTTAACTATTAGGCTTCCCACGCCCCGTATATATTAGAGGTAGATTGATATAGTGAGGCCATGATGCGATATGTATACATGAGCTATATATGTAATAATTGATTCAAGTAACAAAACACACCATCCCTACAGATTTTGTCTTTTCAACCATGCCTGATCCTATATATGCATCAGAGCTACAGATAACCTTTTGGGTCATTGAGTTATGTACTCGCTTGTGTTCATCTCAATTGGGTATCCTAATTTTCCTTTGAGTAACCAAATAAATTGTACTCGCCTCACTCAAACTTAATTGGGTATTTTGCCATTTTCCATTAATTCAAAAAATATAATAAATTTTAAATGATAGCATTTGTTATTATATTTGATCTGTAATATGAGAAACAATAAGTAAGACTGCAAGTTGTCAAGTTCATGTCCTGAAACAGAACCTCTCAATATACCTCAGTTATTTTATCTATCCACCAGTACGCAAGCTATTTGACATTTGTGTGTGTACGCATGTAAGATCACATTTATTGAGTATTTACAAAAATTCAAGCGTACTTGTATTCAATAGCCTTAATAGGAATTGAGTTTTCACACAAATATTTGTGTAATTTACGCAGAAACGCAGTCTATCTACCTCTGATGTGTGATGCTAAAAGACCTAGAAGCGTAATCTAGGTGATCTGGGAATTGAACCAACAATCGCAGTTTCCTTGCATGCCTAAGGGGCATAACTCTGCACCATGAATTGCTATGCTTATGACACCTGTGTTCCTTTCCATGATTGATTTCCCTCATTATTACACACTGAACCATGTTTATAACACAGACTTGTAATGAACTGTTCATATATTTCAGCCTCTTGCCGTAGGTCATGGTAAAGATCTGTGTAACTAATTACACTTACAAAGAACAATAAATAGTACTTCCTTTTAGTTCATTACAACAGTAGTTCATTGTTTGTCATACAATCTGATTCTGGTTTCTGGCATCAACCACTCTGGGTCCAAGAGTAAATATTTTACCTGAGAAATGAAGATGAGGGACCAGTAAGGAATCACAGACACTTGCTGTAGGTGATAGTAACTGAAATGCACAAATAACTGGCTCCTTTTATTGATATAAAGAACTAAAATTAGTGGCTCCTTTTAGTTCAATATAACCAAAGTTTACCATATACCCTGCATTATGATTCTGGTTTGGATCCAAGCATCTCCAGCCAACCCCGAGTCCCTGCATGCATGTTTTACCTGAGAACTCAAGTAGAGCATCTAGTGGGAATCACAGCCAGTTGCTGTTGAAATGCATGTAACGACTAAAATCATATAGAACTAAAACTAACAGTCCATTTTAGTTCAATACAACGGTAGTTTACTGTATATCATGCTTTATGATTCTGGTTTGGATCAATCATCTCAGCCACCCTCGGTGCCTGTGTGAATATTTTACCTGAGAACTGAAGTAGAGCACCAAGGTAGGAGTCGATGACAGACCCCACAAAGCCTGCCAAGGTGGAAAGGAGAACAATGGGCCACTGAGGAGGGCTGTCACTCAAGGTCAGTTCTGAAGAACACAGCAACAGCGCCACATAGTAAGCCACGCCAACAATAAACCCTCCGAACATGCTGCTTACGGTTCCAGTAAACGTCACGCCACCATTAGTACCTGCAAAACATATCAATATGATACCAAAAACAATAAGATACCAAAAACAATATAACATCAAAAGGATTGATAGAGCAAATCAATCCTGCAAAACATATCAATAAGATACCAAAAACAATATGATAACATCAAAAGGACTGATAGAGCAAATCAATCCTGCAAAACATATCAATAAGATACCAAAAACAATATAACATCAAAAGGATTGATAGAGCAAATCAATCCTGCAAAACATATCAATAAGATACCAAAAACAATATGATAACATCAAAAGGATTGATAGAGCAAATCATAAACATAACTAAAAATATATTTGAACAACTGCTTTATTACAATTAGGAGCTATGTTTCTGTGTATGTTCTAACACTGTTATGAATTAAAAAAAAATACTTGATAGAACCTACACATAAACATTGCTCCATGGTTATGAAGAACCTGTTCATCCTATATTCCTTGTCTGCAACTTCAAAATGTCTCTCTGAAGAAAATTTTCAGGCCTGATCTGAACTTATTAAAACAGTTTCAAACCACTTGATGTTAGAGTATGTGTGATGTTAGTAATTTTAACTTTTACTGTGTATTATGTGGTGGCGTGTGGTCCTGTGGTCCTGTGCACAGAGCTCAGGTCACGAATCAGTTGAAGTTAAGCAACGTCGAGCTCGGAGAGTCCTTGGATGGGTGACCGTGTTTGACAGCTTGACTCCTGAGAGTTTCCTGCCCCACAACGAAGCACATGTAATACATGAGGTCTCACCTTAGGCTAGTGAGTTTGTTCAAAATTGCCTCTGTTCACCCAGCAGAAAATGGGTACCTGGTTGGATAAAGCCATGTGACTATAACCTTCCAGCGCCTAACAGGTTATCCGGGGTAATAATCATCAGATTCTGATTAAGAGCTGCAAGCAATCACTTGGTATTTGGAGACTGTGCGCTATAGAAGATGACTCATTATTATTATACGGTAAACATAGGCATTTCTTACTTCGAATAGCTACTAAATTGCCATAGTTTAATAAAGGATGTGTCTTTCAAACTTGCCTCTAGGCACTCTGCGGAAGGTGGTCACCAGCCATGGTTTGGAGTGACCGAACACTGTGCCAACTTCGGAGGCAAATGTGTCTCCACAGCAACAAGCCAGTGATCCCAGGACACCGGCAGCCCACCATGTGGAGGAGTATCTTCTCGAGAAGTCAAATGTCTTCTCTGCACAGCCAACTTCCAGGAGGTACAGAACAGAAAACAGTGAGGCAGCACCTCCATTACACAGAACCTGCAGCCAGTTTCTCTGGCCACCTGCAACACAAGATACATGCGATAACACGATACATTCCTAGACACAAGATACATGTCTTAACACAAGATACATCTTGTCACAAGATACATGTCTAGACACTAGATACATGTCTTAACACAAGATACATGTCTTAACACAAGATACATGTCTTAACACAAGATACACATGTCAGAATGCCTCATTTGGGGACACTTGTCTCAATGTCTCATTTGGCCACTTGTCTCAATGTCTCATTAGAAAACACTTGTCTCAATGTCTCATTGAAGGACACATGCCTCAGTACCGCAGTAGAGGACACTTGTCAGAATGCCTCATTAGAAAACACTTGTCTCAATGTCTCATTAGAGGACACTTGTCTCAATGTCTCATTAGAGCACACTTGTCAGAATATCTCATTAGAGGACACTTGTCTCAATGTCTCATAAGACAACACTTGTCAGAATGTCTCATTAGAAAACAGTTGTCAGAATGTCTCATTAGAAAACACTTGTCTCAATGTCTCATTAGAGGACACATGTCAGAATGCCTCATTAAAGGACACTTGTCAGAATGCCTCATTAGAGGACACTTGTCTCAATGTCTCATTTGGACATTTGTCTCAATGTCTCATAAGAAAACACTTGTCTCAATGTCTCATAAGAAACGCTTGTCTCAATGTCTCATTAGAAAACACTTGTCTCAATATCTTATTACAGGACACTTGTCACAATGTTCCATAAATGTCTTACCTTCTTTGTAATCTTCCTCTAATTTCTTTTTCTGACGAGCTCCTAGTTTTGTAACCTTTGATCCTGCCACGAAGAAAACCAGCAGAGCAGCAAAGAAACACAGACTGCTGAGTGTCAAGATGAATCCAACTAACAACCCTGGAATCATAGTGGTTACTATGGTTACATAAAATAATTAACAACATACTGCAAAAGATGGATAATTTTTTCAGTTTAACATGACTGAGATGAATTCTGAGACAAATGTTGCGTATTTCAAATACAGTGAAGCCTCGTTAATCCGGACGGTTGCGTTTCTCAGTAAATTCGTCCGGATTGCGAATAGTCCGGACTACTGAATCAAGACCCAAGTTGCTTCCCTAAGAATTACAAAAACGACACGAATCTGGATAAAACAAATAAGCATTTAATGTAAAGCTTAATTTATCACATCAATAATTTTACCGAGTGACATCCGCATGTTGATCCGACGTGTCTGATCACGTCCTGCCTCAGCACAGGTGAGGTAATGTCTAACAAGCGTAACAACATCGCCGGGCGGTGTTGTTACGGTTCGTGAACACGACTTACAGCGTCCGGACTGTGAAGCAATTTACTGTTTATTTTACTGATTGGTGACAGCTACTTACCGTCCGGTTCCGGGAAACCGAATTTCCGGATTATCGAGGCAAATTATATAGGCATAGATTGGTAACAAGCTGAAATCGCCCGGGAGGCGAGACATCCGGATTATCGGAGTCCGGACTAACGGGGCTTCACTGTACTTATGAATTCTGTGTATCCACAGGAAGGAAGTACCATACCTGCCACGGCACCAGACACATCCAGACTCCCCTTCCTCAGCCCATACAATGCGATGAGAACTGGAGCAATGGATGCTGCTAACCACCTCCATGGGGCTGGGGCCGCATAGTCTGTAACCATGGTAACAATACATTAGCAGGAATTATTGTGGTTACAGATGTAGATGTAGGTACCAACTTCTTTTACCAGAGACCATACACTGAGGGACAGGCCCCAGGGGATCATACACTGAGACACGTACTGTACTGCTTTCCTGGCAGCTGGCACAATGCACAGATGCTCTTATCTCAGGACTTTATTAAAAGTGTTTTCATAAACTGGTGTGCGTGCTATAAATACGCTTCCACCGTCTATGTTTAGCACACAAACTCCCTACAGGCTTATTCAATGACAATGCGTATAGAGATGACCAAACACTGAGAGGGCATTAAATGCACATTCGACCCAGCAACAGTTTGATGTCACAGAACATTGAGTTTAGTAACAAAGTTTCACAAATTACGACATAAAGGTATTGTGATGTTTTTGTAAAATTTGTGGTGCTGAATTCTAAAGGTAGGCCTAGAGACCTTCTTCCTGAAACTGTGGAAATCTAGACTTGCCACAAATTCTCGACTAGCATGGTCCTTCTTGGATATGTTTGTTTCAGGGTCTGTATGACAGGTGAGGTGAGGTGAGGTGAGGTGAAATTGGGCTTTACGTCGTGCTTGAGAATATTTCGCTCATATGACGACGTGCATGCGTGTGTATGTGCAGCTGCTTGTACTAGCCCACTGAGATACCATGCCGCATTGAAGCATGAATACCCCACCCAGACACATTATACTCACTCCGAGCCGACCAGTCCTTGTTGTACCCATTAATGCCGAGCACCAGGCAGGGACCAACAAGTACCATATTTTAACGTCTTTTGGTATGACGCGGTCGGGGATCGAACCCGCGACCTTCCGCTCTCCGGGCGGACGCTCTAACCACTGCACCACGGAGGCGGTCTGTCTGTATGACAGACTAACACTTTATGACTATGAGTACATGAGGATAAACTAGACAACTAAACCAAAGATTGAAGAAGCACGAGAAATCAGCGAAGCACAAACCACAGCTGGGGCCGCCAATGAGCTGATTACTTATCCTTGATCGTTTTGCATGCAAGTGTTAGAAAGTTGCACAGTGACTGAGTGAGTCCATCGTGTGAGTCTTAGTGGCGGAGGAAAGTGAATAAGATATAAAAATCGTCCAACCTTTGTTGATTGTCTGATAGAACAGACTGATTAACCAAAACATTAGGCTAGCGGGAATGACGACAGCCAGTGATAACGCGAGAAACATGACATCATACTTCTCAAGAAATACACCAACAACTAAAGTCAGCCATTTTTATAAGGTCACAGGTCACGTACAAGATCTACAAACAAAGAAACGTTACACAAACTTAATTAAAGCTATTTTAATGCCGCTTTTAAAAAATACAACTGCTGTATCATAGATGAGCAATAACTTGGCCATAGTAATTTCTGCAAAGCAAAAACTATCATTAAATTGTGTATGCTGCCAGCGATATGGAAGAGTCACATGACAATCTATTTTTAGCAAGTCATGTGATTAGTGTCACATGAAAGCCGGATGAGAGTACAAGCAGAAAGGTGGCAAGGTAAGGCGGCGATGCATCAACTCACGTTGTAACAGTAGATAAGGCTTATTTGAGGGGTGCATGTAAACGTAAGAGTCATATGATAGCGTGAATGATAATCTTGTCTAGAGTCAAGTTGGTTATGAAACCAGAACCTTTCAGCGCTCAGACATTTCGAATTAGGGCTGAAGTTCTACAAAGATGTCTTGAATTTTTTCTCTTCATCCACTTGCTTGCATGTGGTTTTTGGTTTAGTACCTAGTTGACATAACATGTCTTTTCGTTTAGATATATCTTCAAAAACAATTTCACTAATTTTTATGATCACATGGATTGGAGGGTCGTATTTCACCGGGTATCTCTCACAATCACCTGAAACATTTGTGTTTATCCAGAAACACTTCCTTGTTTGGTTTAGTTTCAAAATGATAAGCTCACACTAGGTTGCAAATTTGTGGTTATCCAGTATGTCGTGTTTATGTTATTCGGATATCTATCTCTAATTTCCTTATTACATACCCACATTCCCCATTTTTTTTTGTTTCTCTTTTTGTTGAAAAATGTCATGTGATTGTGACTGCATTAAATTGATAATTCTTGGAAACCTCAGTGCATACTTTTCCATGAAATGTCATGTTACCATATAGTACCAAAAGCATGTGACCCTAGTCACCGCCGATCCCACTGGCGCCACAGGAAGTTGACACATGCTCAGGCTAAAATGATTAATCACTAGAGAAGCTGTTCTTGGAAATTAACTGGTGGCAGATATGTTTATCAGAAAATAAGGCACTTAGGAGGTGCTACATTTGGGGCTAGAGGTGAATTGTCGGTGGTTATCTTGTTGGCATACTGACTCATCTGAGAAGGGGGTGGTGGCGGTGGGGTGGTGGCGGTGGGGTAGCCTAGTGGTTAAAGTGTTCGCTCATCACTGAAGGCCTGGGTTCGATTCCCCACATGGGTACAATGTGTGAAGCCCATTTCTGGTGTCCCCCACCAGGGTATTGCTGGAATATTAGTAAAAGCAAACTAAAACTAAACTCAATCACACACTGTGAGAGGAGGGTGGCGGGGTAGCCTAGTGTTTAAAGCTATGAAACACACAATGCTATTTTAGAAAGTGGTCAGATGTAACATATGTTATATTTGGGATTACACTTTCTTATTAAAGTACAGATTCTAGTACATGTGGAAGCTGTGGTGACTGAGTGGTCTAGGCGTCTGACTTTGTGTGCTGGCGATTAGGTGCCTGACTCTGAGGGTGTGGGTTCGAATCCCGGGGTGGGACTCAACCCCAAAAGTACTAGAATCTGTACTGTAAGAAAGTGTAATCCCAAATATAACATATGTTAGTGTTTAAAGCGTTAGGTCATCGATTCTTCACATGGCAGTGATTGAAACAGAGCGGAATTTGTGTGCCATGGTACAGTAAATATATAAACAGCATGGATGAAACATTTTTACAATGCCCTGGCGGCACATCTAAATTCATACAATAATACTCTTCATCATTCATTTAATGGAAAATGCAATTCAAAATAGTCAACCAAGAAATATGATTTGTGGCTTGAATGTGACCAATGCTGAACTATATATTCTGTGGAATCCTAGGTTGTGCCGTTGACAGGGATGGTAAACAGAGTCACTTGTTCTTCTGTCATGGGGTAAACCAGAAACCAACAGAAAGTGATGAACATTTGGTGGCTCCTATAGTCCGTTTGGCTCAAAATCGGACCGATGAATTGCAATCTAACTCGAAAACTAATAAACATAAAATACTCAATGAAACACTGATCATAATGAAAAAGTCAGACCAACTCTGTGAGGTTTTTGCAGAATTTATGTCCTAAAATTAAAAAAGTTGTTTTACAAACTATCATTAAAATATTGACACAGTTCACTATTTGTTACGAGGGAGGAGTGCAGAGAAAGGGACAGCCGGGTGTGCGAGAAAGGCTGGAGACGGCATAGCACAGATTAATGAATCAATAACTTTGTCAGCACTTGTGCACATGCTTCTCTAACACCTGGCTGTCCCTTTCTCTGCACTCCTCCCTCGTAACAAATAGCGAACTGTGTCAATATTTTAATGATAGTTTGTTAAACAACTTTTTAAATTTTAGGACAAAAATTCTGCAAACAAAGCACAGAGTAGGTCTGATGTTTTGATTATGATCAGCGTTTCATTGAGTATTATATGTTTATTAGTTTTTGAGTTAGATTGCAATTCATCGGTCCGCTTTTGAGCCAAACGCATTATAGTGCTGGAAATCATTGTTATGTTCTAAGTTTAATTGGTTCAGCAAAATTTTTTGACATACTGATTTTCACAAAGGCACACCTAAATTATCTGTTTGGTGCTCTATGGCAGCCTTTGCAAAAATTGCATTTCTGTCACTGCATGGGTACAATTTGATCGCTGTTGTCTCCCCTGTCATTTCCTGGAATATTGGACCCGTGAAGATCAGGAGTAGAATTGGTCTTCAGCAACCCATGCTTGCCACAAAAGGCGACTATGCTTGTCGTAAGAGGCGACTAACGGGATCGGGTGGTCAGACACGCTGACTTGGTTGACACATGTCATCGGTTCCCAATTGCGCAGATCGATGCTCATGCTGTTGATCACTGGATTGTCTGGTCCAGACGCGATTATTTACAGACCGCCGCCATATAGCTGGAATATTGCTGAATGTGGCGTAAAACTAAACTCACTCACTCACTCTCACATCAGAGGAAGTCTTTTGTTTTAATACATTTGGCAATCATATCTTAATGTGAATAAGAAGACAAATAAGAATGAAAAGAAAATTCAATTTATAATTTTCACTGCGAAGTGTTCATGTAAATGACAGTATGTTAATGAATTGCTCAGGTGTGAAAAGCCTGCTTGTCTTGACCCCGCCATTCCTGAAATAGAGTCGGTCACATTGTTTCATTGCATGTTGGGAATAAGTATTATGATGGTCTCCAAACGGCCATTATCATGATTATTACCTCATAATATATATTGAATGGGAGCAAAAGGAGGAAAGCCATAATTTCAAGGACAATGTGTTGTAGCTGACTACCAGTGTACCACTCGCTAGGTGTCATGTTAAATGGAGATTAAGAGACAAGGTACTACAGGGTGGTGGAGTAGCCTGTTGGTTCAAGCGTTTGCTCGTCACGACCCGAAGACCTGGGTTCGATTTCTCTCATCGGTACAATGCCTGAGGCCCAATTCTGGTGTCCCCGTCGTGATATTGCTGGACTCAATCAATCAGTCACAGGGCACTTCAAATGTTTATTATGTTGTGGTTACGTTTTGATGATATTTATCCAAGATCAGTTCTATGTCTTCATGGATAGAAGACATTCTAGACACAGAAAATAATTTTATCTGTTGTTGAAATAGATCACATCATCATGATGATCAGACAAAAAAAAAATGCATGTGCATAGTTACAGTGTTATCAGTGAAATTACATGTCCCGTTATTATCCAGGTTAGAATAGGTCTTCAGCAACCCGTGTTTGTCGTAAGAGGCGTCTAATAGGACCAGGTGGTCAGACCCACTGACTTGATTAATGCATGTTATCAGATCCCTGTAGCTCATGATGTCGTCAGTCACTGGATAGTCTGGTCCAGACGTGATTTATTTACAGACCACTGTCACACTGCGTGTGGAAAAAAAATGAGTACAGCGTTAAACAAAACTAATCCATTGTTTTTATAATACTTTTGCAACTTTGCTAGTCTGAAGCACAAGTCTAGTTTGTGTTCATTTTGTGAGTTCAGCATTAAGTTAAAATAATTTTTTCTAAAATGTAAAAGGGATGCTAAGAGCCATACTTGAAGTCTCAAACATTATTAGCATAGACCATTAAAAACAGAATGAAGTTTTGTAGGATTAATACCAAAGTATGACAAAGGTATCTCCAAATGTAGAGAGAATTCTGAAATATATAGAGGATATTTGATGTATCTAGTGAAATATCATATCAAAGTGTTGGTATGGTTATAGGACAAATAATGTAGTTTATTATTACCTCACCAGAACAAACATAAGGTATGATTTAAGCTACCAAATGAAAACTAGTTGTATGTGAATGTTTGCAGAAGCTACATGATTTCTAAACTTGGTATGCTAGTTATAATTAATTCCGTATCAACACAGAAAATGTTTTTTGGGTATTGTATCATTGAATGATCAATGTATCGTTTCATGCTTGCTGTGTACCCATCAAAAAGTTTAGACTCATAAAGCACTCACTATATGTTATTTGTATTTGGTTACATCGAAGATGAAATAGTAATATGCAGATGAATTGCACCTGATGCTTCAAAAGTAAAAGGTTCTATCATGTGGATGACACTTTGTTTCAATTTTGTTGAAATACTGAACTCATGACAATAATTCAATGTTACTTAATATGTTTTACACACCAACATAAACTCATGTCTGCTAGTGTTGGGAATTGGTTAAAATCTCATAAATGATGATTGGTTCATTACAACCCATCGATCATCGAAAATAATTGGTTTGCATCATTTATCAAATTTTCATGTTATGTTTATTAATGCACACAATTAAAAAACAACAAACACATTAACCCCATGTAGTTAGTGTTTTTTTGGGGTAAATTGCACAAAATGCATTTGAAAATTTCACATCTTTAGAGTATGACTAGCATGTTAGGAACATAAATTTCGATAATTTCAGTCATGACTTGGAATGAGCTTGTAGTGCTTACAACCTTGTGAAAAATATTGTTAATGCAA